GGTGTGATCCCCCCTAAATACTCGTGTACACGTTGTGGGACAAGAACGTTGTAACGATACGACATGCGGCTGATGTAACACGATGCTCGCTTACCCCGACGAAGAAGACGCAGGAGGTCCCCGAGGCCTTGTTATAAAGGTTTGAGAGATGATGGGGAAATAATACACAATAATAAAAAAACAATCTTTCACTCGTACATTTTTTTTTTTTTTTTGTCCGCGGAGTCTCTCTAAATAACCATCAGATGCACGTCGAACATGACGAATGAACGACAACAAGAAAGGCACAGCAATGCCACCATCCCTTTTGTAATAATATTATGTGGTAGGAAACCGGTCGCATGTAAATTGATACGAAACGAGATATACGCACAGAGGTACGTGCAGAAGTAAAAAATAGTACACCGTTGTCGTTAAAACTCAACTGCTAGTGTAATATTTTCTTGGAAAAGTGTACCGCATATTTCTGTTTTTCAAATTATTTGTTTCTATTAAAAAAATCTAATGCAACTATTGTAAAATATCATTAACGCCCAAATTTAACTGCTTAATATACAGACTAATGTAATATTTGTATTGAAGCGAGTGAAAATTATTCGAGTACAAAATACTTAGAGGCATAGTCTATGGTAATTTTACACAGACAGATTAATATTTCTACCATATTTTTAAACGCTTATATCGTTAGGCGCCATGTTGTATTTAAGGTGCAAATTTGCCCTATTTTATTAGAGTATCTCTAAATCTTCGACATACTTGTCTCTGATTGGTTTTTAAGTGCTCTAAAAGCTAATAGAAAACTTTGTTGATATATTAAAAAAAAAATTAAAACTACAAAAATAAACATTTGTATGTTGGAAATGCTGTACCGCTCGTCTTAATTGGTATTTTATTTTACGTTAAAAACTGAAAAAGACTCGGAACACGTTACTCAATTAACAACTAATTTATTTTACTACTTAAAATTATTTTTGTTTCTTGAGATTCGTAGATGGTTCAACTCGATGTTGGACCACACATGTTTTTGCGAGGTACAAGAGGCAGCGGTTGTGTTGGCAAAAAGCCAAAAGAGCCACTCAATATGGGATTTTGTTGAAAGAGAAGGACAATGATTGTGTGACAAGCAGTCGACAGTAGGAGGGTAGGTGGTAGAGGGTAGAGGTGAAATTCGAGGAACGACACGATTTTAATTGGGACCAGCGATTCTCGAATGTGCAACACGTGATTAGTATTATCTGTGAATATTCTGGTCCCGACGTTCGGTTGAGCTCCGAAATCGTAGGCGGAATTTTATGGGTGTCGTTGACGATAAAATCGACTGCCTACTGCCGCACGAACATGAGTTATACTCGCGGAGTGTAATAAAATAGTGATATGTAGACAATTTGGTATTGGGAAAAATAACAACCACAAAACTAATTCTACAGCTTGTTCTTTTATTAGGTCGGCTAATAACCGTGAAAAAAAACAATGACCGTCCGTCCACATGGTGAAGACGTTTCTGAACGGCTATTGTCCGCTGTAAGGGCTACCGAACGGGTCTCACAGTACTGGAGAGCGTAACGTGGGGCGGAAACGATATTTTATGAGTAATATTACTTGTGTTGTGCTGAGGGGAAATAAACACCCGCCGGAATGACTTCGGGAGCGGCCTGAGTAGCTGGACTCAGGCCATCGACCCGCCACCACACAATTGTGTCCGTATCGTAAACAATATCTCGGCGAATGATAAGATAATGTAATAATGTATGAATTATACTGTTATAATGTAATTTATACAAATCCTGGCATTAAACCCGGTTATTGCCCGTTTTGGACATTTTTATGGTTTACGATGTTGTTGTTAAATTTTACTCGAGTCCCTAGAAAGTAGTGACAAACGGTTCCATTGAAGTTAAATGTTCTCAAACAGCCGACTCTTTGTATTTTTTTTTTTTTTTTATCGCTCAATCTGCTGAAAAAAATATGCTTACGTGTCCAATAGAATTATTATTATAGTCCATAATTTATAAGATATATAATCGTAGCCCAAAATCTTTTCTACACTGAAAAATAAAAATGTCTTAAGTTGATTGAAATTAAACATTTTTTAACTGTAATAACTCTCTAGTCCACACTAAGAAAAGACGCTACATTTTCTTCTTTTGATCATCAAAATCACATTATCTTATCGATGAAAACTCCAAGAAAGTAAAACGATGTTCACCATTTGTAGATTATTAACTTTTAAAATTTCTATTTTTTTTTTTTTAATGTACAAAACGTATAGTTAATTACACGGGATGGCCAATGATTAATTATGAATACTTGTTTTTAGTTTAATAACTCCCCGCGTAAAAGAAATTCAAAGAGTGGTTTACATTATATCAATTGGTTCTCACTTACCCCAGTTTACGACCAAATGTTTTTTTTCCCGTGAATTTATAAAATATTTAAAAATAATATTTTTTATGGCATATACGCATTTAGATTTAACGTTACCGCGGCAGGTTGTTATTATAGTGTAGGTAGTAATTTTTTTTTAATTGTCTTACAAACAATTTTTCACTAGAAAGTAGTAATATATTTTGTTCGGCTCAGGTTCTAGTTACATTTTTATCCAAAAATCTCGGGGGACAATTATTATGGCACTAAAAACAATGCCGGTACGTTTTATATGAACATCTCTGGAGAACAGTTGTACGCAACTAATGCACAGCTCTACTATAATAAGTTCTTATAAAAATGATCAAGTCCCAAAACGTCTATTAAATATTTCACTTTAAGGTTAAAAAAGTACCATAAATATTGTACACAGTTTGTGTTAAACTCTTTATTAGCATATATATCGGCGTATTATTACATAATTTGTTTTTATCATACTAATCCAGAAGTGTTTTAGAAGTATTGCCACGCGTATGTCGCCGTGGTAAAGTTAACCAAACAAACACAAAGCGTTTATTGGAAGCTTTGAAACTTTTTTACGGATTACTATGATTTTCATGACACAGTTTCGCCATACCGCACTACTAACTTCTTATCGCCTCCTACGCGACCTTTGAATTTCAGTTCGTACACATAAGTATTTCGATTTATTTTTCCCGTCGAAACAAGAAAGTAATGTCGATTTCGACGTACCAAATAATAAGTACTTAGAACCTGTTCGGAATTTGATTAATTACAATGGAGTAGTATTCGAGAAAAAACCAACATATTTTTTAATCCGCGGACATTACACTCTGTTTGATTCGAAACAAAAAAAAAGGATGTTTATCTAAGACTTATATCGATTAAACATTTCACCATGATAAACATCATGGCGCGTATTTACTTAAAAACGAACGCTGTGTTTTCAAAACATCATTTACATTTCATCACATACACACTCGTCGGACGTTTACACGTTACGTTTTTTCTCAGTCTAGAACTATTCAGATATGTATATGACAGAAATGGTTACCCTACAGCTATTATATCGTATAGCGATCACAAAGTAGTTTTTTTTTAGTTGGATACTTTGACACGGACTTGACCGCCGCCGCCTCCGCATGGACATTTTGAAACTTCGTGTCTGGTAAACGTCTCTTCGGCCCAGTTTGGACATTTAATACACTGCGCGAGAGGGTCCTAAGTACAGAAACGTGTTTTACGGCTACTAATTGATTCCCATATTACAGTCGCTTTAACACGGCCTGTGTACAGTCGTGTGCGTATAAACAGTGCACACCCCCGTCTGCCACTTTCCCTCCAGGGATTTCTTTCAAGTGGGGTCGTACACGGGCAGAATGTGCTGCTCGGATACGGTCAATGGAAAAGTAGAAGAAACCACTTGACCTCGTCAGAGAAAAAAAACCTTTATGGAAAGACCTATTGGAATATTCCGAATCGCTTGACTCCATTGTCCGTCGTGGTTTTTCATTGTCCGTCACTCAGAAAAACAAACATAACGCTGGCGTTGGTAATTTTTGTTGAATGGAAATTTTCCGTAGATAACGGAAGTAATGTGAAAATATAGAAACGAGTAGCTAACGAGTTCAATATCCTCGAATAAAAATATATCGTTTTCGGTAAAAGTTTAAACGTTGACTTATTCAGCATTGAAAAAAGAATAAATAATAGACATGTAGTTTTAATAATACAACTTAAAGTTCCATTTTTCAAACGATTGTTGAATATTTTAAAGTAAATTATACGATGTATAGAACTTTTTACAGAACAGCTCAAACTTTGCTCGCTTCATAATTCATGATGACATTTTTGCTTCATTTCAAAAAAAATAATAGCGTTAAGGTACCAAAAAGCGGTATAGTATTTCAAACTGAAAAAAATAATGATAACAGCGTTGTTTAACGAAGACTCGCAAAAGGGTTTAACATAACAAGGAGTGTAATTAATTTACAAATGAAAACAAAAGTCAATTAAAAATACAATGAACTGTTTGCATAATAAGCACGTGTGGTCAGTAATTTTTTTTTTTTTTTTTTTTTTTTAGGAAGGCTACTTAAATAAAGTGACCTCGATTAATACCAATTGAAATTTTGAGTCTATCAAATTAGACCGAGCTAATCATAATGACTTGAACGAGATGAAAACAATTCTTTAATAATTAAATTATACTTTTGTACTAGCACTAGGCTAAATTACTTAGTATACATAAGTCGTATTAGACAACCACCGGAGTAATAGTAAAAAGGTGTTTCAAAATGGAAAACACCAGCACTACTATTTTATGTAGTTTAGTGCAATCTATTGTGTGTATGTGTGTCGTTTATGGTTTACCACCGAATCGATTCCAAGTAATAAATGAGCCCGCCGGTCGTTACTCACAGCCACCTCCGCTCTGAATTCAAACACCCACAACATCAACAATCGGATTGTGTATAAGACTTTCATAATAAATACACTAGCCCCGTGCTATTATACAGCCACCCGATGGCTATTATACGACCGTCTTACTAATATAATTACCTCAAACACCATTATTTTACATTAAATTTACTATCGGCGTTTTTTATTTACAGAAAACGGTGCCATTTCGATCAACAAGAATTATGTAAAAGCGGATTCTTCAGACCTGGCCAACGACAAAAGGAGAAGCGCATCAGAGCTACAATGAAGTGTAGGAGTCGTCGGGTTCCGAATCGGCTTGGAAATATGGCCGCGTTCGCCCTGCTGACGATGCTCGTCAACGCTGCCGAAGGTAAGTCAAAAACACTATAAATTAACTGTTATCTATCATCGAACACCACACCCGTGCATTTGATGTTCGGCCGTAGTATATTGAGCTAAATCGATCGGGTCGACGAGCTATCCTTCTCGGTGCATAACATTATTCATACTCGTTGTTCTGGATATTAAAACCCGCGTTGAGTATTGACTAAAAACTTAATTAAGCTTAGAGAATTACTAGGAAGTTTTACCGTCAGTAAATTGAAATGACTGTTTATTTACTAAACTGTTGAACATTTCAACAGTTATGTAAGACGGTCGCGAACAAACAGCCGAAATACGCACAGGTCGAATTGTATTATTATTTTAAGCCCCGGGACGTTTATGAGTACATTGAGCTATCGAATTACTGTCACTAAATTCCCATAAAAGTAATTGTTTTTGTACATAATTTGATTTTATTAATATTTTGCGCGACGTTAACACAGCCACAGTATCTGAAAAACATCTCATTTTCATGGAATCTCGGAGGATTAATAAATTTCTTTTCCGAGACTACGAACAACTCTTATCGGATTACCGTCCAATAAATAATACCTTCGGTTGCCCTAAAACTGACGCACTAGATCTTTTGTCGTATTAACATTATAGAGTTTTCCCAGACGTTCACGTACAGTGGTAATAAAAACATTTACAATGGCCATATTAAATTTCCACCGCAGATAACAATACAGAAGTCTGTACTGTAACATGTAACAGGGAATCGGTGCCGAGATGACGGACTTCTGACCGCAAAATATAATATGATCTTTACAGTATGTGTCGTGTGCACTGTGCTACGCCGAAAGTGTACACTGGCGTTGGTATAAAGTAACATTCCGTAAGCCGTTCGGAGAACAAGCGCTATTCCGACGTCGTTTTTCAGACGCTATTTTTTTTCCCCTGCGCCCCGCCGCTACGTTCGGGTTAAAATAAAAAATATATAGACAGATATTTCCGAGGGATTTTGCCGGCCCATTGTTCGACACACGATGGACTGAAAAATTGTGCTCGGCAACCATGAACAACGGTACAATGAACGCGCGGCGGGTGGGGAAGCTTTTCAACGGTCGCAATCCGTTGGTCTTTTTTGCGGATAAGATAATGAAAAAAAGTCTATGTGCTGTGTATACAATGTTATATCCTAGTGATTTCGTGTTTAGACCCCATTTCCTGCACACCGACCCCTGGCGGCATATTCCTGATGGTTTACGAATAACACAAATAGTGCGCGCCGTTCGTTGTTTTTTCTAGTCGGCCCAAACGGTTAACTTTTATTTGCTGTATAAAACGCGTTTATCAAATCGCGCTACTTGATTTTCGTCTTAGATAATGAGGGTTTTTTTTTTTAATGTTTGCGTAAAAACTCTTTTTGGATTTACGTTGTCCGGAAAAGTGTAAAAAGATAAATCCTTACACCGGACTGACAAAACTTCCGCTGAAATTAAGATTAATAATTTTTATCATTGCCGGTGGTAGTTAAGAGTGTAAATTATGTGCCACGTCGTGTGGTTTACTAGTCTGAGACACGATTACACGCGCGTATCTAGAAATTATGAAATTTTAATTAAACTTTTATACTGATGAATTACTTATTTTTTTAAGGGATATTTTAAAATAAAGCACGAGTTAAACACTCGGAATATAATGAGTTTTGAATTTGTTTGTTTCTAAACGCATTTCACGACATGAATATTTAAAATTGAATTAATTTATCAATTTAGGTCGCAGTCTCTTCTCCACTCTATACGGTGTAGACTCAAGACGGTTTAGTTTTAAAGTTTAAAATCTCACGTTAGAAAATCGACCAATAAAGAACGAATAGATTTACACGATGTTCAATACTAAATCTCCACTACTAAATTATTGTCTCGCGTTGTCTTAATTCGTATAATATTTCATCCCGAATTTTGTTTACACAGTGTTCGGGTTTCGGGGAAAGCATTTATCAAACCCATTGATTTACACACGTACAGCTACCACGATAATAGAATACTATATGTAAATGAAAATGCTATTGTACTATTGTTCAGCTTTAAATTGATGGTCTATGTGTATGTTTAGGTAACAGTATAGATTCCGGTCGATTTCGTCGTTGGCCCATCTCTCATAACACACGATTATCGTGAGCCGAGGGCCGTTCATAATAATATTGCTTACAAATCGAGTCGGAAGGCCGGAAATCGCTTCCAATAAAACATCATATTATTTACATGTACGTGCTCGTGTATCTATCCGTCCAAAACGACGATACTATCAAAAATCATATTATAAACACAGCGCGTAACTCGGAAGTGATTAAATTCCTATACGCTCATACGATTGGCTTCATTAACGCGATTACGAATTATAAACGAGTGAAATGGCAAAAGAAACATACGTGAATTGTATGAGATGTTTTAAATTTAGAAAACGTTGACAAGTACACTTTGCGTGCTAGTCAATTGGGCACATCGCATTCGACGACGTTACAGATATTGAAGTGTCTTGTCGAAACGTATGTCCGCGAAAAATTTAAATAAAGCTATTTATTTTTCGTATCACGAAGAATATCATAACAAGGACGGACCAATTTTTAGGACGAGCAGGTTTACACACTAATAATTGTTGACATTGCTTACCCGTAAGTGCCGAAAAACCAGCAAGCCTAGACATAAAATCAATAGTTAAACCTTAAGAACTTCACAGGACTGACGTTCTATAAGACAAATACGAAATGGGCGAATATAAAAGAAAAAACGAGTTTTCGATTCGAGTTTTGAATAATTTAATGGCCTACTGTTGAACAGCTCAACGAGTTGACAACTAATGAGTGGGCGTTCGCGCACCGAGTGCGGTTTATATTTTAATAATGAAAAACAATAGAATACCGTTGGCATGTGTTGCCTAGAAAATGATTTATTGTTGTAGATATAGAATCCTAAACGTATTCAAGTATGCGTTACACCCTATTATACTTCGCTCGAAACTCACTGCAGCTTGGTTCAGTATTATACTCGGGAATGGTTCTCATTATGTGAAAATTATGTTAAGTTTTTTTAATTAACATTAAACTCTTTAAAAGAAATGTCCGAATTTTCACATACGTGTACCGATAGTTATTAATGCATACAAGGTAAGGGTAACTGGTGATAAAAATAATATATTTGTGTACGAAATTATAATTTAAAAAAGCATACTGGCGTATGAGAATTTTCGGATCATTTCGTAGAGTTTATTTATCACAAAATTGAAAAAGTATATTTGAAATACATCACTTTTTTTTTTTTAATAACGAGAAAATGTATTTTTCGAATAAGTAATTTCGGTGTTATATTTCAGCATCCTTTTAATTATATTCATATTTTAAATCCGTCCAAACTTAAAGCGATAAATTTTACGGTGAAAACTTGTAAATGAGCAAAATGTCACGATAATGAAAACATAAAATATCGTATTTAATTTTTGGGGTAATAAAAACTTATTCTAGACCTATTATCTAGCTACCATCTAGATACGACAAGTCTTTTTCAGTTTCTTTTCGTCCGAATATCTTTTATATGACTATAAATTCCAGCGACAAGGTAGCGACGTACGACTAGAGCAAAAAGAATGCAATAAACATAAAAACAAATCTCATCATGTGCCGTAGTTGTTTTAGGACTCTGTAGACAAAGAGTAGTACGGATGATTAAATTTTATCAAAGACAGTTATGAGTAATCAACCGGTCGGTTAAGTGGTTCGGCGTAAACTTCAAAAGTACTATGATATAGAGCATACTGGTGGGAATCAAGTCGGGCAGCACCAAAAACCAGCGTGCGTTTCCAAAAACAATACCTTTTACTGACAGAAGCAACTTCTCTTTACAAAAAACCGCGCAATCCACGTGCACCTCTTCCCGGGGGTCTCGCCTTGAGAACGATTTTAATTCATTAATACTTTTCTTTCTACAAATCCGTTCTGCACGATCGTCCTATGCCCTTAGGCGTATGTTGAACGAGATAATATTTTATTATAATCAGCACCGCACAGCGTTTGTTCGTCGCCGCCCTGCTCTGTTCGTGATCGATTTCTCTATTAGTCAGTACACGAGTTATCGTGTAAAGTGTAAACCGGCAACGACTCTATTATTATTATTGTTTCATTTTTTCTTTTTTTTTTTGTTTCTTGCCACATTAATTCAGTTCAAACAGTCGTACGTTGCCCGTTGTAGACTATCTGTGGTGACAAATGAATGGGTTTTGGAACCCGGGGGTCGAGTCCGAGAGTTAGAGTCCTCGTCCTGGTAAATAGTATCCTCAACCGTCTACGCGTTGGATACGATAAGATCGCACGACGGTGGAGCCGATGTGGTAACGACGTCTCGAAAAATAATTAACGTAGTTGGTTATAATTGAACACGCTTGCAGTGAAAATATAGTTGTTTCGACCTTGTTGTCTTTAAAGAAGGCGGTTTATGTTTTACTGGGATATTAACATACAGCTGGTACAGAATTCGATTATACGGCCAGAGGACACGATCTGATGGAGCAAAAGGAAAAACATGACTTTTTTACATGTTACAAACGTTTAGATACAAATAAATTCAAATTTAAGCTAGCGTCGTTTAAATAAAGACCCACACTAGTCCAAAGGAAATTAGTCTGACTTTTACATATTATTTTACGAGGCAACTGTTCCACAATCGGTTTTCATCAATCGATTAATGCGAATTAATTAAAATTTAAAATACATGTACACGGGGTTTCTTAAATGCCCACGTTAAAAATATTCCACAAAGCAGTAAACACCTTAAGTATATTTTCAAAGATATTCTATTTTAACATTGTATTTTTTTTCTTTTCCCTTCGTAAAAGTGTTCAGTTAGTTACTTTGTATACAAATATTTAAAAATACAATATTTCCTCGAACAGAGGATTGTCAAGTACTTATTTTTGTTTTTAAAAATGACTATAAAGTACGTCAGGCTCACCCTTTGTCGCCCGGCTTCCAAATGTAAAATGCTATTTAAA